TGTGGGGTGGCCCATAGCATTAGTCAACAGATAATGTAGAAGTGTTGTAAGACTGTAGGGTGGCCCATAACATTCACTAGTTAGCAGATAGTGTTAAAGTGTTGTAAGACTATGGGGTGGCCCGTAGCAACCACCAATTAGTAGATAGTGTAGGAGCATTGTAAGATTGTGGGTGGCCTGTATCTTTCATTAGTTAGCTATTAGCATGGTAGTATAGTAAGACTGTGGGGTGGCTCGTAACATACAGTAGTGGTCAGTAAGTATGGTAGCATTCACCGATCCTTATTCGACAGTGAGAATGTGACAGATTTGTGATTCACTCACGAATTCCTTCAGATAGTTTAAGCCAGTGCGGGTCAGCCACACGAATGCGAGTAGGCTACAATATGATTGGATTCGAGAAGCGATAAGTCGTTGGAGACCAGGAGAGATGTAAGACTATAGTTGTTCTGGTAGCATTCACCTTTTGTAGTAGATTCGGTTACGACAGGTAGCCGGACAATATGATCGGGAGGATTAGCAAGAATAATGGAGCCATAAGTGGAAATATGATTAGAGCAGACTTCGATAGCCGAAGTTATCTTTGGAAGTCGCAGGAGGCGGCTATGAGGTTGTTCTTGAGCTCAGCAACCAGGTAGGAATCCAGAATTCTGGATAGCGGCAGAGAATTAGGATTTTGTATAGAGCAGCTTGTGGACAGGAAAATGCTAAGTCACTTGCAGTTAGATTAAATAATCTCAAAGTAATTGATTTGACCCTGCTACGCAGCACTCATATGAGTCTAACCGCTGCAGGGATAAATCTTCTACTCGAAGGATTATCTAAGCCTTCTGTCAAGTATAAGAATTTTGTAGTAGGGGTTATGGTTAAGGGCTTTATTTTCTAAGGTTGCATCAAGATCATTAGAGTTGGAAGTTCTATGGTTGATCAGTTGTTCGATGAGTTTTGAGCATGGTAACAAGGCAGTGCAAGCGGTCTATCAGGGAGACAGACCATTATGGAATTCAGACTTTAGGAAAGCAGAAGTGGTTTACGGAAGCTTGAGGTTCGTTTCTTTGGGATGGAAGTTCGGATCGATTTCGGTTGACTTGAAAATATTGTCTTATGTGCAGGATCATCGGTTGCATTCCTTGGATCAATAGTTTTGGATATAGGTATTGGTAAGGAGTGATTTCTAGGATGAAATCTAACTTAAGTGTGGGAGAGTTGTAACGCCCTGTTCCGAAACTCTTTCCTAATTTGGGATTGTGGCTTGAAGATGGGTTATCATAAGGCTTTTTAGAGAAGAGATATCTAGACCTATTTAGGTACAGACAAAGTAACTGAGGTGATCTGGGAGTTTGGATTGTGCCTTAGAGCTAAGGAGTAAATCGATAAAGTGGCAGTTCGAGCTCCTTATCAATTTTGGATTTTTGTTTGGAAGGTTTTGAGGTGAGGATAGGTTTATAGATGTGTAGAGCTTCTTGCCACCTTTCCGTGGATATAAAGATCATCAAAAATGGAGTTGAAACAAAGAAGTTATGGCCGTTTGAAGTTGGAGTGGTTCGGGTGGTTGATCGTTGACTTGTTGACCGAGCTCATTTAAGGCTCACGACATGAACAAGGAGTGCTCATGACGTGAGGAGCTTCTGATGCACTAAAACCCTAATTTTGGGGTTAAAGGTATGAGATGATTAGGGTTGCTCCTCCTCAGCCTCTTTCACTCCCAAGACCTTTGGAAACCCTAATCTCAACCCCCATTGAAGTTCTTGGTCATTTTGGTGTTATTCAAGATTTTGGAGGCTTTGAAACTCATTAAGGAGAAGAAGATCATTGGTGGTGCATTTGTTGACATCTTGGTTGCTTTATCAGATAGTTGAGGAGCTTTTGGACCTTTGTAAGTCCTCAAGCTCATGCCTTTCCTTTCCTTGCTTGCTAGATCTAAGTTTCCATGCATTTTATGACTTGTAATGTTGGTTAGCATGCATGGAATCCATAAAGTTAGCAACTTTATGGATTATGATGGCATCTTAAGTCTTATATGTTCTAGATCTAGGCTTTGGTCATGGTTTTGGACTCCAAGTTTGAGTCTTGCCCCTTTTTCCTTCATTTTGACCAAGTTGGTGTTTAAGGTATGTATTGGACATATTTGAATGAAAAGCTTTGATTTTATGCTCCTTAGGGTCAAGGAAGACCCTCTAGACTGTCCCATGTTAAGACTTAATGGATTATGAACTTAATGCTCATTTTTGGTCAGATCTACACTCACGGCGTGAGGAATGAAGCCTCACAAAGTGAGAAAGCTTTAAGGAAGTTTCGGACAATAATCACGACCTCACGACGTGAGCAGTCCCTGAGCAAGTTTTGGACTCTTGGATTGTGGGCTAGCTTGGAATTGGACCTGTCCTTTGGTTTTGGCTGATAATGGACGAAGGATTGTAGAGTAATGGACTTCTGGTTAGGCTTGCCTTGATGGGTTTTCCTTAATGGGTCTTGGATAATGAATTGGACCTTAATGGACCCAATGTAGTTAGGCCTTGATTGGGCCCAATGAGCTTGGACCTTTGGCCCATCGGAAAAATCATAGGTTCAGAAAAGTAAATGGGCTTTAGGGAAAGGCCCATGTACGGATTTGGGCCTAATTTGGAAAACTGGGCTATTGATGGGTTTTTATGGCTTATATAGTTTTGGACCTTAGTTATGGTCTTGTTGGGCCAGGGTTTAAATGGTCATTTTACCCTAAGATTTGGATTATGGTTCATGGTTGCTAGTTGGATATCGTGTTGGTAATTGTTAGTTTGGGCATCAGGGCAGTAGCTAGGGAGTTCGGGCAGCGAGCTTCAACATTCGAGATGAGTCTCCTCACTGTGTATGGGTCTAAGGCACCAATGTCGGCCCCTTTATGTATGGTAAGAAGACCCGGGGGTTATACCTAGGCATTATGTATGAAAGACTAGGAAGCGGCTCCTGGCATACAGTATGCTATTATGTATGGTAGAAAGACCAGGGGGTGTTTCCTGGCACACTGTATGCTAAGTAGCTAAGTATAATAGATTGTATGCTAGTTATATTTGTGATTGCTTGCATGGAAGACCCGAAGGTAGCTCCTGGAACTTGTCTGTAATATGGCTGCCAAATATATACCATGGAGAACCAACCAACATGTTACCATTACAAATTTTTAACTTTTGAAAGTTAGAACAAAGTCGGTAATATACCATTACCAATTTGTACCAACCAAACTTGTTGGTAGCCAAACAAGTTGAGACCAAGTATAGATAGTATGGTACTGGTGGCAAAAAATTTATACCAACTATAGTTGGTATGGTACACGATTTGAGTAAAAATCAACTGATACCGTACCATGTCCAGCCCTAGTCGGTAAGATCTAAGGGGTGGCCCCCAGCTTGGCAAGAAAGACCACGTGGCGGCCCATGGCATAACGACAAGATGATGTGTGGCACATAACATCTTATTTGATTATGGATATGTTTGATATGTATGGTATGTATGGCTCAGTGGATATGTATGGTATGTGGTATTTGGGGAACTCACTAAGCTTAGTGCTTACGGTTCACAATTTTGGTTTCAGGTACCTTCAGTTTTCAGACATGGAGCTTGGGACGATCGCATCACATTCACCTATATTATTTCGCATTACGTGATCTTTGGGATTAGACTCTGATATATATTTTAAATGAAACGTTTTCAATGTTTGAAACAAAGTTATTAAGTGTTTCTTATAATAAAAATGAAATGTTTGGTCTTGAATTTTGGGATGTTATAGTATCACATCTCAACTATATGTATGTTGCATGGTATTTTGTGGTTGTATGTTATGTGATATTTTGAAAACTCACTAAGATTTTGCTTACAGTTTATTTGAGTGTTTTCAGGTACTCCCGTTACTAAGGGGAAGGACCCGGCTTGATGGCGCAACGTTCACTCTAGCATTTTCCGCATTTATCTTTTTGATACTTTGATATTTGATACATTCTGATTTAATGAATTTTTGGGAACAAATTATGGTTGTATTTTATTCTCAAAAATGAAAAAATTTATCTGGTTTGTGGGCTGTTACAATTTTTTTATAAAAAATAATGGCAAATGGGGAACAAAAAATATTGGAGCTAAGCAAACTCATACGTAAATGTTGGGACTAAATACAAACTGTGAAAAATATGAAACTGACACATCATCAAGACATGTTGGTGATGAGCCAAGGGCTGAAAAATAAAATATTTTTAAAACATATTAGCAAATAAGGAACAAAAAATAAAATTGGGGCAAAAAAAGAACAATGTTGTAAATATAATAACTTTTGTGGAATAAACCCTATAGGATTAGGGTAAAAAAATTAGTCTCTGCTCTCTAAGGACTACAAAGTAAAAGGGGTTATGTATCGGTTATATCAAATTTCATATATGTACTTTTTAGCTATAAATGTGGATTCATTATTGAAAGGGGGATCAGAAGAACTTCAATCTTTTTAGTGGAATAAAAACAGATTAGTAAAATCGCACAATAAAGCTTTAGTGACATATAAAAAAATATATGATATAAAATATAAAGTTTTTAGTGGCATTTTAAATTTTTATGTCATTAAGAAATTTTAATATTAGTGATATAAATTTTTTGGTGGCATTAAATCTATTAAATTTATAATGATATAAAATATACCATTAAAAACATTCTATAATGCATAAAAAGATATGTTGTCAAAAATATATGCTACTAAATGTTATTTTATTTGTAGTAGGACATGGAACATGGAAAATGGAAAAACAGAAGAAAAGACAAAAAACAAATAAGAAACTAAAAGCTTGATGGCTAAATTTTATCAAGAAACAAAAGAAGTTTTGAATGGATCATCATCAAAGGTTAAACCTTACTTATACTAAAAGGAAATTGAAACTTAGTCTAACAGAGGAAAAAGAAAGATCAAAAATAAAATAAGGAAAGTCGCCAAAACAAATTCGTATTACACCAACAATTTATACATCAATATAGGCACATGCATTCTATCTACCATGCAAAAGTGTAATCGTATAATCCTCAAGGGATGAAACATTATCAACTTCACTGTAACATTCTTCGGTGAAAAAAGCTGGTTGTTTGGGTGGAGGCAGTGCCCCCTCACTAACCAGCATCAAAACTACTGACAACATAGTTGGCCTATCTTTTGCATGATGTTGCACACACAATAATCCAACATGTATTGACCGTAGTACTTCAGACACCACACAAGAGTTGCGTAAAGATGCACTAATGAGTTCAATGGACTTGCCTTCCTTATAGAGTCTCCACGCCTGAATGAAGCCGAATTTCATGTTAAAGAACAAATAGTTTTTGGTCCTTTTTAGTCTACAAGATTAACTTACATGTCCAAGAAGGTTATCGTTGTGAGCCTCGTGAGAGAACTCTCTGTTTTTCTTCCCACTCACAATCTCTAGCACAAGAACCCCAAAGCTAAATACATCTGACTTTATAGAGAAGCGCCCATGTACTGCATACTCAGGAGAAATGTAACCACTGCAACCAAGTTCATTTAATATAAAAAAATTAGTGTGATTTCGAATTTGTTTGTACTTTTCCCCTTGTAGGGCAATGTTTTACGATTCTTACTATGTTCCAACCACCTTCTTTGTCTTAGCCATGGCATCCTGTCCTATAAATTTCCGAGCAAGGCCAAAGTCTGATATTTTTGGATTCATTTCACTGTCCAGCAAGATATTACCTGCCTTCAGATCTCTATGGATGATTTGGAGGCGGGAATCTTGATGTAGATAAAGAATACCCCGAGCTATACCATGAATAATGTGAAAGCGTTGAGGCCAGTCCAGGAGTAAACCTTTGGTTTCATCTGCCAAATATGAGCTACTTAATTATTCCATGCATGTTGCTACAACAAGTGTGAGAGTAAGGCATTAGAGAGAGTCAAACCAAATAGAAATGAATCCAAGCTTTTGTTATCCATGTATTCATAAATTAGAATCCTTTCATTTCCATGAATGCAGAATCCAAGGAGCTTGACAAGATTCCGATGCTGAAGTTTGGCAATACAAATGACTTCGTTTTGGAACTCTTCAAGTCCTTGTTGGGATGTTTCTGAGAGACGTTTTACAGCGATTACTCGCCCATTTTCCAGGACACCCTACAGATAAATATCGGAACTTATGATTCTAATATTTCTTTGTCAACACAGACATGAATTGCATAAAGGAATCAGCAAGTTACCTTGTAAACGGGACCAAAACCACCTTCTCCAATCTTATTATCAATGTTAAAGTTATTGGTAGCCTCGACTATTTTATGCAGGCTAAAAAAAGATAGCTCATCAAGGTTTTCCATCTGAACAGTTGTATGATCTTTATCAGGGGTATGTGTCCTATGATCTTTATCAAGGGTATGTCCCCCGCTTCCTGCAAAATGTTCATTTTCAATTTCTCATGTATACATGAATCTGCCAAAAGTCACTCTTGAAGACATTTAATGTTTAATTTTTGGAAGAATAATCTATGACTTGTTTTACCTCGTTCCTTTTTGTGAAGCTTTTTCATTTTCTTTCTACATGCATATGCTACTGCAGATAGAAACAGTGCAGCTGACGAAATTGAGAGCATCAGTACTAACAGTACTCCATTCTTCTTGTTGAAGCTGAGTTGGCCTTTTGCTAATCAATAAAATAATTAGTAAGGTTACAATTCAAAATCAAACACATTTAACATGCCTGATAATTTTTTCTTTTTTTTGGTCAACATTCTTATAAATTATTTGTATAAGTATTTCTTGTTCGGGCATCCACAAGGTATTTAATGGTTGGCTACGTCAACATTCTACTATTCGTACAAGTTTTACCAAAAAGTTTGCTTCAATGCATCGATTGAATAAAGTTTAATGAAATATATTTGCCAAATCTTATTTATGACATATTTACTCGGCCTCCATTGAATGTCATCATTAGTTTAATCATTGAATGTCAATTAGGCATATACATTTGAACGTCAATTAGACATGATAAGTCATTCTATTCTTCCATTGAAGTATATATATATATATATACATATATATATATATATATATATATATATATATATATATATATATATATATATATATATATATATATATATATATATTATGGATGCTCTTAGGTTTTAGCAACGAAAAGGATTAGCTAGAAAACACAAGATAGTGTAATAAACAAAATAACTAATTTTTATATATACGGATTTCGCAATTTTAGAGGATAATGCTGCTAGAGACCCACAGCTCAACGGGCTCAATAATTTCACAGTAATATATATAATAAACTTTGTGTACCTGCTAACTCAGAGGTTGCTATCCTTATGTAGAGTTGTTGATGATCATCACATTCTCTAATGTCCATAAGCTCATCAAACCATATCAAACATCCACTTCCTCCGTTTCTGATATCTAAATTAGCATAAGCAGTACAAGAGCAATTCCTTCTGCATACCATTTCACATTCTCCAAGGGACATGCTCTCGTTGTACCATGAACGTCGTGTGTCTGGAAAAATCACTCCTGAAATTTTATGGAAGACGTCTGGAGTCCTACAATCCAATGGCTTTTTACGTTGACACCCACTCGACCAATCTCCTGCATTCCATTCTTCTGGGACTTTTGGTTCAAAACCTTCCAAACAACTGCAAGGTAGAGAACTTTTCATGCTGCATCTACCAAAAGGACCACATGGTCCATAACGACTACAAGCATCAACCACTACATTTGCATACTCAACCCATTCTTGGGTTCGCTTGATCCACTGCAACCGCCGTGCCATGCCATCCCACGCCAAAATAAGCCTCTGAATAGTTGTACTCTTGAGTTTATATCTATAATATATTTCTTTCTGATTCACAACAAATTCGGTGGAGAAAATTGGATTCATGGTTTCCTCAGGAATCCCTTGAAAGCCAACACCATTCCAAAGTCCAAGCCTCAAGGTTTCAGCTTGACCTTCTCCCAAAAAAATCTGTGGATATCCATTTGTGTCTACCCGGAAATAATACAAACCTGCAGAAGGATCATTAGGGCTCTTCCAAGATGTGAAGTACCTCTCTCTTCCTGTTATCAAATCCTTCCCAAATTTCATTCCTGGTAGCAAAGTGTCACCAGGGTAGTCAAAACTTTGCCAGATTGGATTTTCATTGTTGCTTCTTTCATCCCACACCACAAGATTTCCGCTGTCCAAAAGCTGTGCCACAGGATTCATATTCCTGGCGAAGACCGATGTCACATTTGATGACCAGATGACATTATTACCACCAATGTAAATCTGTAGGATTCCTTCTGTAGTGAGTTCAAACACCCCAGATGCATCACTGATCGGTGTCTGCCTGTTTGCAACCCAGACAACTGTACGAGGTGATATCTTCTTGTACCATATCCCCAAATATCGATTCTTTGACTTTCCGGGGCTAAAAAACCCCAGTTCGTAGATCTCTCCATCTGAAACAATGGTGTTGCCATCTTTGATTGGTTGATTTATATGTAGTCTATCAAATGCAGCAAAACATGACACGATCAAGAATATAATACTGGAAAGCAATACAAGGATAATCCGACAAAGCTCCATTAACTAATGATGTGGTCTTGAAAAAATTATTGGAGGTAGACGTACATAATAGCCTGAATTTTGAATATTAAAACTTATTCGATAAGTTATTGACTTCAAACCTTCAGCCTTGAAAACTTGAGTTCTACGTGGGTTTAATTTTGTAGGTCATATATTCGGTTTGACCACCATTTAGCCCATGAACTTCAGATCCAAAGTCTGATTATATTCGAGGTTATTCAAAAATTTAGACACGAAAGATGAAAGGAAATTTAAATACATTTCGGTAAAAATATAACGGGGAATCGAAAAACTCCTTGGCTGAAAAACTTGAATCAGCAAAATGACTACAACCGTCACTAATTATAACCATTACCATGTAAAGAAAATTCACTATTATTGGATTAGTGGATCCACAAACAAAATATCAAGCTGTGACAAAGAGCTTAACAATTCAATTGAATTATTACCAAGGTACCAAAGAAAAGCACTAATAGTGGTGGAATAATTAATTCTAGGTTTCTTCAAATTCTTTAATTAGGGTAACATGGTTGTACTCTCTATCTCTCTTCATTCAAAACATGGGGAAATGCGAGAATATATATATATATATATATATATATATATATATATATATATATATATATATATATATATATATATATATATATATATATATATATATATATATAGACACACACACTAGCAAGAGAACCATACAATGCAACGGTGGGGATAGTTTCTTTCGATGATTAGTGTTTTTTCGGCGTGACTTTTCTAGTATAAAAAATATGGTATCGAGAGATTAGTGTCTTTTCAATATTCGGCGAATAGTTTATTTTGCGACAATCCGAAACTTTTTCGGTTATTTTTAACCGATTTCCTTTAATAAAATTTGAATTTTATTGGATTTTCCGTCAAATTCTTTGATTTGGAAAACCTATTATGTTTTATATAATTAGAATTATAAAACGAGTCAGAACCAAAAATCGCGTGAAAAACCCGTAATATCTCGAAAATCTAACAGTTTTCGGTCTAAGTGAGTGTATGGCCGCACACCCGTTCACGGTTGGTACCAGGTGGACCCATCACCGATCATACCCCCTGCCTATAAATACATGACCCCCACCCTCAACACTTTTGGCCGAAAACTCTATCATTCTCTCTCTAGAACCCCTGACCGTACACCCCAAAACACCTCAATTCTTCGGAAAATCGTCGAGAATCATCATTGGAATTAGTTTTAGAGCATCCAGAACACGTTTTTCACAAAAATACAGCATCCTTGTTCTTGAGTGTACGGCCGTACACCCTTCATAACTGCAAATCTTCATTAACCGTAAACTCGTTCACGGCCATACACATTCAAAGGCCGTACACCCTTCGAGAGGCAGTCTACGACCGTACACTCTCTCTACGGCCGAACACATTCCCTAAGTGGTGCAATTGACTACAAAACCACTTTCCTCGATTCAATCAAGTCCCGATAACATTCCTTAACAGAAGCAAGTGTTTTTCTAACACTTTATCTAACGAAATCGCTAATTTAGATACATATATATGTATTTATTTGATATTAAGATTCCGTTAAGTGCCACATACAACAACTCGAAGACCTTCGTTTCCAGTTCATACCCCTACATTTTTATGATTTTTAATCGTTTTCAAGGGGGAAGTACAAGTCAAACACAAATAATTTAGCGAACTAAAACAAAAGGGTTTTCAACTAGTTTAAAACTTATGCAATTGAAACAATCTAACGATTTCCATAAAATATATAGATATTTTATCCCTTTTGTATTATGCGGAGCATAAGGGATGTTTCCTAAACATAATTGCATAGTTTTCAGAACAATTCACGAACATAACATTTCAGTCAAACTATAATAGGTATAGTTTGGAGAATTCATTATTAGTTTTACCGATACGAACTACTTACTTGATCAAACATATAAACTATGAAAAATTTAGTTTATGGTATTCATTACTATGTTCAAATAACAAGAGTATAACACTAAGTAATTATTTAAGTATAATTATTTATACTCTACCAAGTATACAAACGGTTTCAATTACAAGAACACGATACAGAACAACACGTAAACTAGTTAATACATGATTGTGAGACGTCTCTTCATTTGTACCCTTCGGGGTACTAGTAAAATCCTCAACATTTAGTATAACTAGAGTCTCCTGAAGGGAGAGCGTGAGATTTGTGAATAGATCTATTCGGGACTGACAATCTCACGCCTAAACTGGTAGCTACAGTTAGGCAGGCATGCCTGGGGTGATAAGTATCATACCATACGACGCTTGAAGAAATATCGATGAGGTCACTTTTCATATCAAGCATGGTTATACGAACTCACAATAGTATAAACTAACCTTTGTTTACAGGATTTTCATTCTTCACTAGTTTTATTTTAAATAATAGAACTACTATACATTACACTGGAGGGTTTCTAGGGTTACAATACATGGTTTTATTTAAGTAATAAAACTACTATACATACTGGTGATAGCCAGGGTTTTCAAACAGAACAAACTATACATACTGGTGGTAACCAGGGTTTTCGAAACAGAGCACAGTAACGAACAAACATGTTAGAAAATATTAGATTTTCTTGGGAAGCATGCATACATTTTTTCAGAACTCGCTGACATGGTTTTCATTACAAAACATTCTTATAAACTCACCAGCTTTATGCTGACAGATTTTCAAAATCGCTTGTATTCTCAGGACATCAGTAGACGGGTACTCGAGCCGGCTATTGAGAAGACAAAGCATTCGGAGTCTCGTCTTTATATTTTTTGCTACTTTTGATGTATAAAAAACAATGAAACAAACATATGTAAATTTTCATATTATATTGTAATGGTTGTGTTTACTCTGATTACTATGATGCAATTGTTGTGATACTACACATGACGTCCTCCACCCCCAGTCGTTTCCACCATTTTCGGTTTGGGGGTGTGACAGATTGGTATCAGAGCTATTGTTTATAGTGAACAAACTATACCGAACCCTACAAGGTATACGACTATAAACAATAAAGGGGCTGAAGTGCTCTGAACTAAAAGTATACTTTTTAAATATAAGTATTTTATAAGAAGTATACAAGTATACATACGTACCAGACACAGTATCACAAGTAGAACAAAACAAAAGTATTTGGATGTTGGACACTGCTGTTAAACCTGGCAGTTATGTAATCATGTCTAAGGTCAATATACCCTGATCAACTATATTTATTTGAGACATTTCCAACATGTGTTTGGGAGTGACCGTAGTGTTGCAGCAGGCCTAAAACTTACCAAGTATATATACAACAAGATATCAATAGAACATAACATACAACTTAAAATACTATAGGAGTATTTTAGCTAGAGCTGAATATAGTATATAGATTCATTCCAGAGTGTTGCTACTCATTTCTTCTTAGCGATAGTTTACTTGTATTAGTAACATTTTCTTGTTTATCGCTTAGTAGAACACTTTATCTATCAGTATGAGATATATCTTATTTCATATCCCTTGATTCAAAAATCTAGGGGACTTACCATCCTATTCTTCCTAATTTTTTTAGAACAAGATGCCACTGAAGAAAAGACCCAACAGAAAGAACAACAATCCCCCAATAGATCCGGCGCCACCACCTTCTCAGTTTGATCCTGTCATGTTCCAGGCAATAGTTACAGTCGGTGTGGCTGCCACAATGTCACAGATTAATTCTGACGGACCTAGCGGGTCGGGAAGTGGTACCCATCCCTTCAATATTGATGGTAGTCATACACCAGAAGGAGTGTTC